TTTCTATTTTATTTTATTTTATTTTTTTATTACCTTTTTTTTTTTGGTACCAGGGATTGAACTTGGGTCCTTGCGCTTGTGCAGCAGGTGACAAAACCACTGAGCTAAATCCCCGGCCCAGCCCTTTACTTTTTGAGGCAGTGTTTGACTAAGTTGTCCAGGCTGTGCTTGAACTTGTGATCCTCTTGCCTCAGCCTCTCAGAGTACTGGTGTTAGAGTTGTGCACCACCATCCCCAGCTCTGACAAATATTTTTGTATCCAGTGTCTTGTTTAAAACTTTTATTAATCATTGTGTAGGTTGTGTAAGCATGTTGGAACCTGTTTGAGATCTAGAAGAAAATACACCCAGTCCAAATACACCCACATGCAGCAACTGTTAGCATTTTGATGCGTTTTCTTCCAGTTTCATATGTGTGGCTTATTATCTACTATTGTGGACAGAAGTCCCACAGCCTTGGTGGCTTGATTCAACACAAATCTCACAGTTTTGGTATGTCAGCAGTGTGGGCATAGCTCAGCTGGCCCTTCGGCTCAGAGTCTCTCACAGCTGTAGTCAAGTTGTCAGCTGGGCCTGCAGTGTTATCTGGGGCTCGACCAGGAAGAACCTACTTCCAAGTTCACTCACCTTGTTGGCAGAATTCATTACAGGTGCAGTGGTGAGGGCTTCCATGTCTTCCTGGCTATTGGTAGGAGGCTGCCATCAGCTCCCAGAAGCTGTCCATAGTCCTGGCTGTGTGAGACTCCCCAACATGGCTACTGGCAAGGCGCAACCCAAGAATGGAGAGAGTAAATCTAGCAGGATATAAATCTCATATAACAGAATCGTATAATAATATGAACAGAGATTTATATACTCTGCCTGTCACCTGTGTCAGGATTTGCCGCTAGAATTCTGCAAGTCGTACCCTCCCCACCCCTAGCAAGGGAGACAATAGGAGGGCATAAAGACTAGGAAGTGGACATCCCAAGGGGCTCCTTAAGTTTCCACCACATCTGGCTGTGAGTGTTTTTATATGTCTGTAATGACACTATACTGATGCTCCCTGACTTACTACAGGGTATGTCCTGATAAACTAGTGTAAGTTGAACGTGTTATAAGCTGAAAATTCCACTTAGTACACCTAACCTGCCAACCATTGCATCTTAGCCTAGCCTAACTTAAGAGTGCTCAGAATACTTACATGAGCCTACAGTTGGGCAAAAGGATCTAACACAAAGCATGTTTCATAATAAAGTATTGAATATCTCATGTAATTTATTGAATACTGTGCTGAAAGTGAAAAACAGTGGTTATATGTGTATATGTTTATAAAGTTGAATCCTAAATTGGGGACTGTATTTATGTATGGCATTTCAGACCCTTCTCTTTCACTTAATGTTAATCTTAAGAACATGTCCATGTCACTGTATGGACTTCTGTGCTATCATGGACTTCTATGGCATTGCTTGGCTCCAGGGAAAGCCAGGACCTGAGTGTGTTAGTCTGTCACTGAGCCACACCCCCAGCTCCTAAAATTAGTTTTTAGCAAGTTCCCTCACCTTGCTTCTCATTTAATATATGTAAATCCTGGGGATATTTTCATAAAAATATAATAAGACTTTCCTCACTTTAAAAGAACACTGCCTATGATGTTAATTGGGGAATACATCCAAGTGTTCTATGGCTGTCTAAACCATTCCCTTATTTTTTGCATATTTAAGCTTTATTTTTCTTTCTGCAGAGCTTGATTTCTCCCCCTTGGGATGAAACTCCTCAGCATGCAGAATCCTAGAGACACTTGGGGCCTATGGGGTACTGAGTGACTTGAGTGCTAATGTCCTTCTTTCTCTGAACCCGTGGACTTGGAAACTTTCATCAGGACCATGAAGAAGGTTCTGAGTGATGTGTCAGATGAAATGCTGGAGACGATGTTTTTCAAGGTGAATTCGGATGGTAATGGCTTCATCACCTGGGTGAGGAGATGTCCCTGCTGTCTCAGGTAGCTGAGTGGAGCCGGGCTGGAGGGTACAGTTCATGTTGGAGGTGTGAAGATGGTCAGGGAGTGAGCATCAGAAAGCCTCCCTGTGTTCTGCTTTTAGTTGGGGGAGCCTGGGGTTTGGATTGCAGCTCATTCTCCTGGGGTAGGAGAATGTACGATGTGTCAGTGGCCCCTGCATGAGACCTCATGGGGCATCCGCCATGTGGCTCTCCTGTGTGCTGCCTAGAGGGATCCAAATCAGTGCCATGGCCCTTTATGGTCTCATAGGCCAACATATGGCTGTAAAATCCAAAAATGTCAGGGTCTTATGAAATAATAATAATGATTTTGTTTTTTCTGATTCTAAATATTCTTAGAGCTAGGCATGGTGGTACATACCAGCAGTCCCTGCATTTGGAAGGCTGAGAAAGGAGGAATGTGAATTCAAGGGCGGCTTAGACTACATAGTGAGACTTTTTCTCAATGTCCTCCAACTCCCGTACCACCCAAAAAAGTACTACAAGAAGCATAGATAGCATTTAAAAATACAAAAAAGTACAAAACATAATCTGAACTAGACAAAGTAGCACATGGGTGTAATCCCAGCTCTCTGGTAGGCTGAAACAGGAGTACCACAAGTTCCAGCAGCCCAGCCTGGGCAACTTAACAAGACCGTGTCTCGAAATAAAAATTAAAAAATGGACTGAGGATGTAGCTCATTGTGAGGGCCCTGGGTTTAGTCCCCAGTACTGCAAACAACCCCCTCCAACATAGTCTGATAAATTTATGTAATAAAGATGGCACTGCTAAACACTTATTTTGCTTAAACCTCACAGGAATCCTATGGGGTAGGTGCTGTTGTTTGACAGGTTCAGGAAACTGAGTCAGAGAGAAGTTGGGGAACTCTTTCAGGGTTGCAGAGCTATTATTTGGGCCAGTATTCAAACACGGAGGTCTGCCTCAAAGTTCCCTGAGTTAGCTACTATAGCATACTTTCCCCTTGGTTTAAGTATTCAATCCAGGTTTTATTTTTTATTTATTTACTTATTTTTTTCGGTACTGGGAATGGAACTCAGGACCTTGCACTTGCCAGGCAGATACCCCACTGAGCTAAATCCCTGGGCCCCAGGTTTTATTTTTTATTTATTTTCATTTTTGGTACCGGGGATCAAACTTGGGTCCTGGCACTTGCGGAGCAGGTGGTGGAACCACTGAGCTAAAGCCCCAGCCCTATTTTTTACATTTAATTTTTTGGCTTTTCTTTTTCTTTTTTTTTTTTTTTTGGTACCGGGGATCAAACTGGGGTCCTTGGGCTTTCGAGACAGGTGGCGTAGCGTAACCACTTGAGCTAAATCCCCAGCCTCTGGCTTTTATTTTTTTTAACATTCTATAATAAATATGTTTCTAGCATTCTCCATTGTCTACACAATGCTGCTGCTGCTCTCCCTTCCCTCACAGTATTGGAGTTTGAACCTAGGGCCTTGTGTATGCTAAGCAACCACTGTACCATAGAATTGAATCCTCAGCTCTGATTGCCTGCAGTTCTGGGGATTGAATCCGAGAGACCTGAGCTGTATCCCCAGGGCCCAACCCCACCCCTTTTTTTGAGACAAGGTCTCCCTAAGTTGCCCAGGCTAGTGTTGAACTTGTGATCCTCCTGTCTCAGCTTCCTCACTAGGATTACAGGCATGGGCCATAATGGTCAGAACAACAATCCTTCATAGTAACTCTTCCTTCCTTCCTTCCTTCCTTCCTTCCTTCCTTCCTTCCTTCCTTCCTTCCTTCCTTCTCTCTCTCTCTTTTTCTTTCTTTCTTTCTCTCTCTTTCTCTCTCTCTTTCTTTCTCTTTCTTTCTCTCTCTCCTTTCTTTCTCTCTTTTGCTCTCTCTCTCTCTCTCTCTCTCTCTCTCTCTCTCTTTTGGGCATCAAACTTGAGTCCTTGCAGTCTTTCTTTTAAAAAAATTGTTTATTTATTTTGTTAAAACAGGGTCTTGCTATCCAGGTTGATGAACTCCTGGGCTCAAGAAATGCCCCCTGCCTCAGCCTATTGTGTAGCTAGGCTACAAGTGTACACTACTACACTTGACTCCATTTCTGATGATAGCTTCATATGATGGCTTGTTTTGGCCCTAGATGTATTAACACGAGGCTGGTCAGTGTAGCCTAGAATTGTCCTAGTGGCCCTAGGCTTAGGGTTAACTTGGTATGTGAACCTACACCTGTTGTTAACTTGGTATGTGAATTCAGGCAACTCATATATACTTACATGGGTCTTATTATCCATAAAGTAGAGGTAAATAAAGAACTTATAATTGAGATGCCAGGTGTGGAGGTGAAGCCAGATTTATTTTCATTGCAGATAGAGCTAAGGAGGGAGGGGATGCCTTCCTGTTTTTACAGATGCCTGTGAATAACCCTTCCCACATTCAAGAGCCAAGCACAAGCTGTTGCTTGGCCACTTACCCTGGCAGTGCCTGGGAAGCAGCCTCCAGAACTCCTAATGGCTAATGCCGAAACACCCTCTCTCCCTTGCCTTGCTTTTTGAGGCAGCCAAAGTATATGGAATACATGATGCATGAGTTCTAGGGCGTGGAAGAGATGAGGAGGAGCCAGTACCACCTGCACTTCCACCTTCCCATGAAGATCATCCCCCTATAAGGAGTGCTTCCTTGGGCTTGGGGGAAGTGACTGAACCAGGGCAGGGGTAGCCTCCCCCTTCCTAGTTCCCAGTCTTTTTGCCAGTCTTCTTCTAGGGTTTTTGTTTTCATTTTTCCCCCCCTTCTGCTTATCTGCTCACCCTGCTCAATCAGTGTATTCATTTCACTAGACTTTTTGGCATCATTGGTTTCATTGTCTATTCATAGGATATCCTTGAGAAGTTTTTGGAGTGCTAGTTTGGTAGGCATTAATTTTTTATTTTGTTTTATTTTTTAAGGAAGGCTCTCGCTTTGTAGTGCAGGCTCTCCTAGAATTCACTGTGTAACCCAGGCTGGCCTTGAACTTGTGGAAATCCTGCTGCCTCTCCCTTCCCAGTGCTGGGATTACAGGCATCCACCACCACGGCCGGTTTCATGAACTTCTTGAAGTGCTCTTTGTCATGGAAAGACATTATTTCTCCCATCAATTTTGAAAGATAGTTTTGGAAGATACATCAATCTGGGTTGGAAGTTGTTTTCTTTTAGGGCTTGAAACACTTCATTTCAAGCTCCCCTGGTTTGTGTTGAGAAGACTGCAGTAATTCTAATGCATTTACCTTTATAAGTGTTTTTTTTGTTTGTTTGTATTTTTTTGCTTTTCTCTAACAGCCTTTGGTATTCTGTCCTTGTGGCTGGACTTCGGGGATTTTTTTTTTTTATTAAATTCTTTTATTGGTACATTGTAGGTATACAACATAATTACATTTCTCATTGGGAATTGTACCTTTACATAATGCATCTTGG